AGGAAAAAATATATTCTCTATATATCTCTTACGAAAGTAGGTTTAGAAACACACCTCGTGTTGAACAACCGCAACAACGAGACGACAATCCGCATTCATTGTTGAATGTTTTCGGGTTGTCTAAGAAGAAGAAGAAGAAGACGACGACGACGAGTCAAGGTCAAGAAGAATCTAGGAGTGGAAGTGGATCTTCATCAAGAGGTGGCGGCGGATTCAACGAGTTAATGGCGTACCTGAGTGAGGGCTTAGTTGTAGACAGTAGTGAGGTGTTTGATTTGGTTGAGTGGTGGAGGGCACGAGCATTAACTTGGCCGATCCTAACACGACTGGCAATGGATATTTTTTCAATCCCGGTCTCCACCGTTGCAGCCGAACAAGCATTCAGTACAACCGGCTGAATACTTGAAGAACGGAGAAACACATTGTAGCAGGATATTGTTGAAGCTTTGGTGTGTATCAAGGATTGGGACCGTTCCGACCAACGCTTACACGATACAATCTCACCGGCAAACCAAGAATGGATCGACGAATTTAATAGATTAACTTTTAATTTTCAAGATGATCCTTCTGCTTCATCTTGATAATTTATTTGTAAATATTTATTTACTTTGTAATTTCTAATTTGTATAGTGTTTATTGTAATTTGTAATCTTCTATAGACTTTGTAAGTTCATCAAATTTGTAATTCGTCCCACAATGATTGCACTCTTTTTTCCTTACCAAGTTTTTATCCCAATTGAGTTTTTCTTGGTAAGGTTTTTAATGAGGCAATCATGAATTACAAATTTAAAAATCAATGAAGAAGTAATTTTTTTTTATATAGTTCGTTCGTGTCGTGTGTTCATTTCATATTTCAAATTATAATATACACAATTACACATTGTAATTATACAAATACTTATTTCAACAACATAAAAATATAATATAAAAAAAAAAAATTTTCAGGCAGCTGGTCGGGCATCGGGCAGCCCGACCGGGCACGGGCAGGCTTCCTCTGTCCGAAGCCCATCCATGGGAATTTTCGGGTCGGGTCGGGCAGCCCAAATTTTCGGGCAGATCGAGTTCGGTCATCGGGCAAAAATTTGGACTTTTCGGTGGTTACGGGCGGCCCGTCCAAAGTTTCAGCACTAGTATGTATATTTTCCTTCTTGAGGACCTACTTTGTACTTATAAAAAAGATGTTCAAGGACACAAAAAAAAAAAAAAAAAAGGCCCACGTACACAAACAGGCCAGCCCAAAAAACCTCATGGCCATATCCTTTCTTTTCTTTTGAGTACGTTTTGAGGAACTTTCCTCGCAGTGTTGAGCCACTTTTCTTCCATCTTTGTCGATTGTCACACATCTAAAGTAGATAAATTTTCCTTCTGTAACCGGGCCATCTTATACAAGGACAATGAGCAACGACTAAAGTGTACACTTCACGAGTCAAAACATCCCCTTTTAGTAATACTTGAAACTTGAAGAAAAAGAAAAAAAAAAAAAAAGTTATGGGATTTTGAACATGTACTGTGATATTGTACCCATTCCCCATTCACGGTGTGTTCCTCTCACTTCAATTTTCCTTTTGATTGTGTAGAGAACAAGCAACTACTTCTTAGTGGCATTTTATTGGTGAAATTGCCAGGTTGGATACTAATTTTGAAGTTTAGTATTTACTTGTACTATTTGTTATGTGTAAATTAGGCTTAAATCCTTTTTGCAAAAGAGATATATTAGAATAACAACTTTTTAAAAGTGGCATTTTTCTAAGAGTATTGTTGTAAGGCACCAGTAATGCTAAGCACTATCCACTAATAGAAATTGGGTCCCATAATGTAGGACCCACATGTGAGACTCACATTTTATTAATAATAGTGCTTAACACCGGTAGTATCTCTAAGCATTTTTCTTCATCTAATTCACACTATTTTATTGTAGGGAGAAGGGCTTGGTTATGTTCATGCAGCCTCATTTTCTATCTTATGCTTATTCTCATGCCACTCTAGGGGGGGGACATTGAAGAATATCAGAAAGACATTTAGGGGATCAAAGCCTATAAGATGAACTCCTATATGCTTTATTCCTGCATTGCTTCTTATGTACCTTTTTTCTTCAAAGTGAATAAAATGCACTTTTATGTATTTGTTTCTTTACATTGAAAAACAAAGAGTTGGGATTCTCTTGAGACAATGTTGAGAAGATTTGCACCATTGATCAAATTTTTACACAAAAAACGCAAAAGGAAAAGTAATACCAAACAAGTAAATCCTTCTAACTTTTTTCCAGTCAATATAATAAAATTGCTAGTATGTGCTCCATTGACTAGTTTTTATTAATAATTAAATAGAAGTGGACGAGAGAATAATAGTAATGACAAAAAAAAATTTCTTCAATTTCATTTTGCATTTAGTTGCTACCTACCCTCATCCTAAGAATTAATGTAGAAATGAAAGGTATGGTAGTTGAACGTGAATAGTTAAGTACCAAGTTATTTAAAGCCAGTGTAATGAAGTTGAGTATTAATGCTAGAAAATCAAGATTTTATTATTATTATTATTATTATTATTATTATTATTATTATTATTGTTATTATTATTATTATTATTATTATTATTATTATTATTGTTGTTGTAGTTATTATTATTATTATTATTATTGTTGTTGTTGTTGTTGTTATTGTTGTTGTTGTTGTTATTTTGCGTTAATCTGGGAAGGAAACGCATGCCTAGAATGGGAAGCAAATTTTGGCATCAATTTTTGAGATAGCTACTTTGTGAATAAACTAGCCTTAAGATTTCTTGATTCAGATCAAGTTGAACTACTGGATGAAATATATATATATATAATTGAAAACCAAAGGGAAATATATATATGTATAGACGGGTTTTCAATATTTATGTTGATTTCCGATTAAATTATAAAAATAAGTACATACCTTAATTACATTGAATGATATATGGTGCTACATACACACAGTAATATTTGTGTACTCCTCACAAAAGAAGAAAAGGAAATAAAAAATTGAAAAGAAATCTGGCTTATTAAAGTAACAAACTACCATAAAGATAAAAAAACATGTCTAATTGGGAAATTCTGCACCAGGCTTTGATAAAAAAAGGGAACTTTTTAGATATGATCATCGGAAGTTTGATAGAATCAGGAGGTGACTGTTTTCTCAACAGAACTTCCAAGAGTGGAAATTAATGTCAGAGTTCATGGCTACAAAAAAGACCCCACAATATATATAATGATGTTCAATGACTTATGCAAACATCAATTACACCATGTGAGAAATTTATGACTTCCCAGACATTTTGACAAAGAGAATAATGCTATAACCTCTGCTGAAATGATTTCTAATGACCATTCACTATTTCAGAATGTTGTCACGAAAAGCTACTTTTGTTTGTGCCATCAAACACTATCACAGCTTTGATGAACCAAACAGTAACCTCACCAAGCTAAATGTCTATAGCTTTATCTTAAGGCTAGCAAGAAGCGACATGTTTAGCATTAAAAACTACTATCATTACTAAGAAATCAAGAAACACGCTTTGTGGCACCACCACTAAAAAGATGGTGGTCAGCGGGAAATACCTTTCGTGAGTGAGTGGAGCTCAGCACCACCGGATAAAAAATCACTGTGTCTAGTAAATTAGCCTAATTGCTGGTATTCTAACATGAATTTCCTAAGGGTTAAATTGAGTTGAGACATATTTTGCAGCAGGCAAACAGGTTGCAAATAGTGAAGTGAGTACCAAATTATGAGCACATTAGTCACATTATTGGATAAAAACATGTAATATGGAGTCTTTGATACAAGAATTCCATAAAGAAGAGGAAGTCAGCAAAGGGAGTATTAAAAAGAGAGAAAAAAAGGATGAAAAAGCAAACCAAAAGGCAACAATTATGCAAGGGAGGGGGTCTAACTTGGATACCTTAGTTAGACAATAAGCCCGAAAGTTTATAAAGAAAGTGGGAACAATAAGAATGCTCCCCATAATGATGAACAAAGGGCAGACAAGGGGTCTATTCAACACCTTCAAATTCTAACTAACAAACCCCAAGAATCAAGGTGAATTCAATCAACAGAATTGTGAAAATGGGAAAGAAGCCCAACAAAAAACAATATTGCCCAAGTTGAGAATTTTACTGCTTCCACTACTGCTGGTATTGCTAATGCTAATGCTTCCAGTTAGTGTAATAACTAATAACTGAGTCTATCTGGTGTCAACTTCAGAGAAAAAGTCTAAAATACTTAGACCTGAAAAAGAATTAGAAGAACTTAAGAGAAGCAAAGCAAAGTGGCATTTGTTCAATCAGGTAATGCAAAATGCCAAAACCCAAATGGGGTACTGTGCATTGAATTCTTCCACTGGAAAAGGCTGCTCCTTTTGTTGATGACAAAGCAGCAGAGAGAATTCAAGATGTGTAACAGATAACCAAAGCGCTGTTGTTCAAAGCCATAACATAAATGTTGGTTCTCAAATGTCTCATATTCTCTCTTATTTTTAGTGGGGGCTCATCTGTACTCCCCCAACTCAAAAGCTGTCCCTTTATTTATGAAATAGGCAGAGAAATAAAGGGTGTTATATATTTCCAGGTGAAAAGTCAGACGACCAAGCTGATCCAGTTATTTCATATATTGGTTGAAAACATTTTTATTTTCATTTTTTTTATTTTTTTTATTTTTTATTTTTTATGTTTCCCCTTATCACCACTGCTTTGTCTGGTAGTCAATGAAGCAGTAGAAAATTATGGTGGTAGGATTGCCAGGTATTGGCATGTACGTAGCACTTGAATAATGAGCACTGTTCATTATTGGTTGGTTTCTTTGTCCTTTTCTGTAGTGAACTTGCTTTCAGTTTTGAAAGGTATGGAAACCAAATCATAAATACATACAACCCCCTCAGGTGTTTGTCGTTCCCCACTGTTAGGTTGTTTAGAAAGCAAAAAAAAAAAAAAAAAAAAAAAAAAAAAAAAAAAAAAAAACACAATATCTATCAAGTTTCTTCTAAGTATTTTATAATTACTGTTGTTATGTGCTTTTCCTGTTTAGAGTAATGGAGTCTTCCCAAGTTCTTGGAGATTCAGATCAGAAATGTAGTGACAGTGAGTCTGGTTGGACAATGTACATTGGCTCCCAAATCTGCAAAGAAAACTATGGAGAAGCTGATGATGATGGTGATGAAAAGGACAATGAGAACAAACCTATTAGCCATGAAGGCGGCAGCTGCGGCGGTGATGAGAGCGATGATTCCATGGCTTCAGATGCCTCTTCTGGTCCAATTCTCCATCAGCTGACACCAGATGGAATTAAGCAAGGAACTGAAATGTTTGGTCATCTTGGAAACACAGTTGGCAAGTGTTTCTCAGCTAACATCAAGCCGTGCAAACAGGAGAAGAAGAGAGATGAAAGAAGGATCAAGCAGGAAGTTCCAAAGGCAGACAGTGCTGAGAGCCAAGTCTAAAAGTGGAGCCAAAGGCAAAATATGAAGAACACAGACCAGACTCTCCAAAGGTTTATTTTCTTATTCATATATATTTTTTCTTTTCAAATCTCTTAAAACTTTTGGATATGTCTGTCTAGTGGAGTCTCTCTGGTAACCAAAAATTTTGAAACATTACCTACCCTCTTTTCCTATGGTTCAAGACTTCCATAATGTTGATTCATTAAATATATAATGGTTTTTGTATTTTATTAATGTCCTTAAATGTGTTCCATTTCATGAGCACATATTGCACTCTTAATCTTTTATGTGCGATAACTAACAAGACAAACATGTATGCATGCCATGAAATAAGCTGTCTTTATTTCTTGTCACTTGTCATTCACTAGTATTGAGAGAGAGACATGACGTAAAGATTCCTACAACAACAACATTTCAAATATGACCATAAGGGCACGTGAAAAGGCATAATATGGTACACATTTTGTGGGCTAGTTTCACATATAATACCAAAAGAGTAACATCATGGCACTGCTCATGTGTTGAATTACAAAAAACGTCACTAAATGAGTGATGTAAGATTAAGGGTGTGTATGAAATTCGTTTTAAAATGATTTTATTTTTTGTATGAAAATGAAAATGAAAATGTTTTCAATCTCAGACATAAATCTTTTTTTAAAATGTGTTTGTTAGTTTTTTTAAGAGATTATTTTCAGTATAAAAAAAATTTATTAATGTCTTTCTCTCTCTACTCGAGAGAGGAAAAAATGACTAAAAGTCGTTTTTCATTTCTTTTTTATTTTATACTAAACTAAAAAATCGTTTTCATTTCCGTTTTTTGTCTTTAATTATGCAAAACGTCATTTTTCTCCCGTTTTCATTTATTTTTTCTCGAAAAATGTAAAAAACAAAAATAAAAATAACTCCAAACACGGCCCAAGTGACATTACTATTAAACTGCCTTTAATTGCATCGTTAGCTACGACCTTATGAATTTTTAATAAGAGACTTCAAGTGCTAGCATTTCTGATTGCTCTGAACTTCTTACATGTATGCCTATCGTCTAGTTTTGAAAAGGTTTGAATTATGTTAGACTTTTGCTGACCCCTGGCGATGCCTGAAATCTGAATGAATATTTTCAGTGATGGTCAAAGAAAGAGGCTAGATTCCAATGCATATTCTTATTTGTCGTAATATGTAACTTACTCCAAACAAAACAAAACGACATAAATTAGATTTGGCATCTCATATTTTGTTCTTTGAATAATATGACTTTGTACTAGGAAAACTTTCAAGCAGAGAAAGAAGTTTTTATTTGGTGCAACAAGAGTTCCACTTCCAAAACAATGTCAAGTGATTAATTTCACCTATTGATATCAAAGATTGAAATTCCCTGCATCATCTGAACCGGGTAAAAATTATGGCAAAACAGTAAAATTTTAACCCCAACATCAGTTCTCTTTAACTGCACTGCAGTGGACCAAATATTTCCTAAATGCTTCATTCCGTACTAACAAGTCATGGGGACGTTTACACTTTCAAATACCAAAGATTTTAAAACTGATTTTGGACATGCAATAAGTACGAATGTTATGCATCAAAGCATTTTGTCATAAAAACTTATGATGACTCAAATACGATTCTAAACCTTAAACCCCCAACCCCAAGACTTATATCAACCACCGTTTTTTTAGTAGTCCATAAATCCCCCACCCACACTTGGCGGTTCTCGAGTGCGAAACACTAGATGCTTTTGGAAGCATGAAACTCCTGGTTAGTCACAAAGTAGGCGACTCTAAGAAATTGAACAGCAAACCATGTGGTAGCAAACCACAAGCCTGACCACCAAATATGCTCCAAAACAATTAACAACAACCAGTTGGGCAATGGAAGATATGAAAGGAAACATAAAAGAGAAAAATGTGCACCCAAACAAGCAAAATACTTATAAAAGTAATGGTTATTAAATAGATGAAGGGCGATGTTCAGCTCTCGTCAAACCAAATGCAACCAAGCATGCCCTTTTTCTCATATGAAGGGGCATAGAAGGATTTAATCCTTCAGTCCACAATATATAAAATGCTTAGATCGTAGAACAGTAGCAAGAAACAAAATAACAGTGTTAAGCCAACAATATAGTAAAGTTCAGTAAATATCTCTATGACAAGGAAATCACTAGCATTCTTCGCCTAAGAAACACCTTATGATACCAATTTATTCGGTAGGAGGCATCAATTGAGACTCAAAATCAGATCTTCGACTGTTTAGCAATCTTGAACCATTCAGTATGGAAGGATCCTGGTATATCAATCCTCTCGTATGTATGAGCTCCGAAGTAGTCTCGTTGAGCTTGGACCAGATTAGCAGGCAACCTGTCTCTCCTGTATGTGTCGAAGTAAGCCAGACTCGAAGACATGCCAGGAACACTAATGCCTGTTTTGATTGCGAGGCAGACTACTCTTCGCCATGCAGATTGTTGCTCTATAATCTCCTTGGAAAATTCTGGATCCACAAGAAGGTTGGCGAGATCAGGATTCCTGTCATAGGCCTTCTTGATGCGATCCAAAAACACAGCACGGATGATGCAACCCCCCTTCCAAATCCTCGCAAGCTCTCCAAGCTTCAAATTCCAACCTTTTTCAGTGCTCTTTGCACGTATCAAGTTCATTCCCTGAGCATAGCTGCATATTTTGGAGGCATAAAGTGCTTGCCTCACATCATCAATTAAATTCTTCTTGTTCACCTCTTGCTCTGTAAGAGCGTTATCAACACCGCTTGACTTGAAAACTTTAGCGGCTTGAACCCTTTCGTCTTTCAGACCACTGAGAAACCTTGAGTCCAGGGATGACGCTATAGTAGGAGCGGCAACTGACAGTTCAGCAGCTTGTTGAACAGTCCATTTTCCGGTGCCCTTCATTCCGGTTTTATCCAGAACCTTGTCCACCAGATAGCCTTCTCCCTTGTCATCCTTAATCCCGAATATGTCTGCAGTGATTTCAATCAAGAAGCTCAGAAGTTCCCCTTTATTCCATTCCAAGAAAACGTGGTGGAGTTCCTCGTTAGAGAGCTTTCCAACTGACTTGAGAACATCATAGGCTTCAGCAATGAGCTGCATATCACCATATTCAATCCCATTATGAATCATCTTAACGAAATTGCCCGATCCTCCTTTGCCAACATATGTGACACATGGGCCACTGTCTGGCACCTGAGCAGCCACCTTAAGAAGGATATCTTCAATGTACTCGTAGGCCTTAAAGGACCCACCTGGCATCAAAGAAGGTCCGTTCCGTGCACCCTCTTCACCACCTGAAACTCCCATTCCAAGATAAAGCAGGCCCAGTTCGGCCATGGCTTTCTCTCTTCTCTCTGTGTTTTCATACCACTCATTACCACCATCAATAATACAATCTCCTTTCTCCAAGTAAACAGATAGTGTTTTGATGGTCTGATCAACAGGAGGCCCAGCTTTTACAAGCATGATGATCACACGAGGTTTTTGGATTGATTGAACGAAAGATTCGGGATCATGGAAACCATACAATGGAAGGTTTCCTTCTTGCTTAGCTCTTTCAACTGTCTCGTCAACTTTGGAAGTGGTTCGGTTGTAGACAGAAATAGGAAATCCCTTCTCTGCAATGTTGAGGGCAAGATTTTGGCCCATTACAGCAAGGCCTGCGAGGCCAATTCTTATTGGTCCTACCATCCTTTATACCTGACGAGCAACAACACAACGCGCCATGATAAAACACAGGGTATGACCAGTCACAGAAAAATAAACATGGAAAAAATTATGTTGAACTTGAAGCTACCAAAAAATAAAAAAAATAATAAAAAAAGAAAGAGCAACCACAAGATTCTTTGATATAAGTAGCTACCATAGCATGGAGGGAAAAAAAAATCAATGAAGTTGGAAAGCATTGAGATCATACACCAACATGACATGCATTGAGGTTGAGACAAAAAAGATTAATTTATACCACATACACACACATTTTTAGTATATGTACACATATATTGTAAACTTAGAACCTACTTAAACACCCATAGTCTCTTTCCCACTTCATATGGTAAAAGAAAAGGAATTTAGAACTTCTAATTTCTACACAAAGATGTCCAGAAATTTCAGAATAAGAGACATACACATTCCAGTTATATTGGCAAGAAAAAAGAAAAAGGAGCCTTGATCGTCCAACTAAATATGAGATATTATGCTGCGTGCAAAAGATCCCACTCAAAAATAACAAAAAATAACACTGGAAATGCCAAGATCATAAGTTTGTTGCAAAACTCTGACAATTTTCAACGCTCTATCCAAACACAATTCAGATTTATTCCTAAATCAAATTTTAATTTATTTGCGTATCCAAACACCGATTCAAATTGCAATTTAAATCACCACACTTCAGATTCTACAGTTCAAACAAAAAAGGTTCGAATCATCACAATTTGAACCTGAGAACCAAACACGGCCCAAGTAATTATGTGTTCAAAAATTAAATTCATATAATTTCCATGCTAAAACAAACAACCACTTAATACAGCCTTAAACAGTAGAAAAACACACATAAAAGTTTTCTAGTCTAAGCCAGGGAACCTTAATTCTTTTAATATACCTTATCATTTTCATCAAGAAGTGATTGGTTTCGGTGATTAAACTGTCAAGAGTTCTAAATTGGCAACAACTTATTATTAATATTACATTTTTTTCCGATAAATCTTATTTAATTCAAATTTCCCTGATAAAATATTTCTTCAATTCCTATTGAGAAATAAATTCAACAATGTGAGATCTTTCAAAAAGCCTGAATTGGTTATAGCTTAATCTCAAACAAAAATAATAGGAAATCCCATAACGAAACAGTGCAAAAGATAATAACCACAAGCAGGATTTTCACACAACAAATAAATCATCTCAAATGCTGGGTTACGATGCAATGAACAAGACAACAATTTTCTGATCAACCCAAAAATAATAAACAGATTAAAAAATAACACCATGAATTCGACAATGAAATGAGGATCAAATTGAATGAGAACAGATTGTGCATGCAAACTGGTATTCGAGATTCAACAAGAAGGCATACCTCAGAAAGACACGAAATTTGGGAAATTTTTTCTCCAACCCAGAGAATTGAAAAAATATGGGTCCTGAAGAAAACGAATGAGAGCTCAAAAGACACTTTTTTTTCCTCTATAAAGCTTATTAGGAAGTTTGGTGGATTGAAGACTTACCAACCGAGACTATTATATGACAGATAAGCTCACCTACCCCCTACCGGACAATTATCAAAAGAAAATAAATTAAAAAAAAAAAAAGTTTTTAAGTGTTTTACTTCACATTTTGGTCTCAAATTTGTTTTTTCATATTGACCCCGTTCATTTCGCTGATTCGAGTTTAGAATTTAAGTTTTTTTACAGTAAAAAGTTCTCACAAACAATCACATCTAATTTTTTTACTACAGTAAAAAGCTCTCACATAAAATCACATCTCAACTCGAATTAAAAACTCGAATCAGCGAACTAAACGGGCCTTTATTTAGTTCGCTGATTCGAGTTTAGATGTGATTTTATGTGATAATTTTTTACTGTAGTAAAAAAGTTATATGTGACTATTTTTGAGAATTTTTTACTGTAACAAAACTCAAATCGGTGAAATAAACAGCCCCTTTAATTTGAAATAATAATAGTTTTAACACTCTTGATGCTTGACACTAAAATAGGTAAACGATTTTTGAAATTTTTAATAACAGTGAAGAGAATCTTTTCTTAAATATAACTATTTTAGTAAATACATAGATAGCTATTATGTGATGGATTATTTTGTTAGATTTTAAAAACCTACTATTATCTTCTTTTTTTTTATGGTCATGAACTAAAATTGCCAAATAATAAAAAATTTAGAGACTGGGAGTATCGCGATACGTAATTCACGCTAATAACCCTAATCTCAATTAACAGAGTTCTTTCAGAAAATAAAGTAAGGGAATAGAGAGAAAATCTTCATAAATAACAAATATGAGGCCATGGTTTTCATGCCAAGTTAGTTGTGTGCAAGGTAAGACACTAATTATTTTCTTAGTGATAATTGCTTCTTTGGTGTTGAAGAAACCTTATATTTATTATTTTAAAAAATGCATAGGACGTCACCAATATTATTTAATTTTGCTCTCATGAAGGGACTCAAGTTGCGAGACCTATTATTGTGTAGTGTTTAGGACCATTAGTATCTAGAGTTGAAAGTTTGGACCACTCAAAACGGGCCCGATGGGTCGAATGAGATTTTTAGGCCGGCCCTAAAAGAAGGAAGGTTGGCCTAGTACGATCCTAAAGCCTGACAGGCTATGGTCGGGCCCAAACCAGCATGAATCTTTAAAAGGTAAATTTTATAAAATAAATTAAAAAAATACACTTCCGGTTGTCCTGCCTTGCCCGCCTCGCCTCTATATACTTTGAGACTTAAACTATCAGCCCAGTCTAGCTCGAGAATAAGGTGGGACTGAAATTGTGTCAACAGTGACGAGTTTCGGGCTGGTCCATTTAGTGCGTCCCAAACTTAAAGCTCTATTAGTGCCTTCATATTATCTATTATTTTATTTTCTTCACAAGAGAAGCATTTGATTAAATATTAAAAATATTGTTGTTCTAATTAAAGGAGAATTTTGTGGACAGGAAAAATAACACTGATATATTTTTTTCTTTTTCTAAATAATTGAAAGACTTGTTTTACCAAAACAATTTACATCAATAACTTTGTCCTTAACTTTGTTAAATTTTATTATAAAATGACAAAACTATCCCAATTAATCTTAGTCGTTCATTTAAATATACTCAATATTAGCCTTTGATTGGTTTTAGTTTAGATAGTAAAAGCCAATGGTATTCACAAAATTCGTCAATCCAATTAATCCGTCAAATCCAATCCAAAATTTTCGATTGGACTGAAAAAAGTTTTGAATAGGACACGGATTGAGATTTTTCCAATTTGAAGGTTTTGGATCGGATTGCGGATTAAGCACTTTCCAATCCGTAAAATCCGCGAATCTGAAACCTAATGTATATATTATAGGAATAAAATCATTTTGATACCTTCTATTATAGCGAAACATGCTTTTAGTACCCAATGTTTTTGATAATATTAAAACGGTACCTTAACATTTTTAAAAATATCTTTTTAGTACCCTAAAGTTAATTTTTAAGACATATAATGTCTAAACTACCATTCACATTAATTAAATAGAAATCAATATTTTTTTAAAGAAAATATGAAAATATTTTAAAACATTAAAATATTTAAACGAAAACAACAAATAAAAAAGTCCATGATTTTTTTCTATATTTATTAGTTTTTTGTTAATTAAATAGAAGGACACTACTGTCATTTTTACATCTCAAAAATCAGTTTCAATGTACTAAAAATATGTTTTTAAAAACATTGAGATACCGTTTTAATATTATCAAAAATACATAGTACTAAAAGTATGTTTTACAATAATACATAGTACCAAAATGATTTTAAGTTTCTTAATTTTTTATATATGAAATATTTTTTTTAGACTTGATTGAATAACTTTTATGTTTTATGTTATGGTTATGCTATGTCTATTTGAGTTATAAAGTTGCAAACTTTGAGTTATGATAAATAATAAAGATTTTATGTTGTGTTTTATTTTGTATGGGTGTTTAATAATTTATAATTTTAAAGGTTAGAATTCGTGAAATTTGTGTATCTAAACTGTAAAATCTGATAGATTTTGAATTGGATTGAATCTAATTTAAAAATTTTTTAGACTGAAGAAGAATTAAAAAAATCTCAATTTGAATGTTTTAGATCGGATTCCAAATTAAACTTAATACGTGGATTTCAATTCGTGAACACCCCAATAAAAACCTATTTTTTTAATGGATTTCAATCCGTGAACGCCCTAGTAAAAAGCCTATTTTTAGTAACCCCTATGATCATCTATTGACAAGTCACTATGTGAAGTCTTGTCATGTGTGCATCGAACCCCCCAAGCAAAGCCCTCCGAGTGCAACCATCGCGAACAAGCGCCTGTTCATTGAGGGGCATTATAGGGATCTGCCACAGAATAAAGGCACAAAGCCACAAATTGACATATGTCGACAACCAAAAAGCCATTTCAATGGCTGCCACGATCAACAAATATTTGGTAGCTTGCATTAATTAAGAGTAAAAGAAACATTGCTCAAATAGTGAGAAACACCACGACCAGAAATTCTCCCAACCAGAGTCCAACTTTATGGAAGCCGACGGTAGCTCACGTTGGAGACCAAAGATCAGGCGTTGATGACAAAATCAGTCTCTCTGACTGTGAAATCGGTGACACCGCAAAGAAGACGGAGAATGGTGAGCTCGCAATGGCGGCGGCGAGAGAGGCAGCAACGTTGAGTGAATGACGAAAAGGACGGTGAGATAGCGCGGAGGGCGGTGAGAGACGCGGTGAGAAAGTTAGGGAATTTTGAAGGAAGATTAAAAAGAAAAATCTTAAGAGTGTATTGGGTTAGGTAGAAAGAAATTGAATAGAATGGAATAAAATTTTAATTTAAAATTTGATTGAATTTATAAGAAAAGAATGATTATTTAAAAAGAATGGTCATTCACTCATTTTAAATGAATCATCATTACTTCTTTATATAGAAAGAATAACCATTCTAACTTCTTTTTTATTTTTATTTTTATAATTACCCTTTAATATTATAATATAATTAAAATATATTATATAATAGTTATATCTTATAATATAATATAATATAATATATAATAAAAAAATATTATAATATAATATAATTATAATAATTATAATAATTAATTTATAATATAGTTATAAATTATAATATATTTATTTAATATTGAATGTTGTGGGGTAGAGGTTGCTTACAAATGGTCTCCATTTAATTTTATTACAGGTCACCGGCTATACTTATACTACTGCAAATTACAATTCTGAATAATAATTATTTCAGAAAAATACATTCTTTTTTCTTTCTTCAATGGATTTTGAGAATTTCATTTGTGAGGGGCTAAAGACCGGGTTATCTCTCTGAATCAGGTTATTCACTGGGCTGTTAAGCCATCGAGTCTTCTAGGGTTGATCGACCCATTTCAAGAGGATTCATCCAAGACTCTAGATCTCGTTAATTCTAAGGTTCTATAAGGAAGATGAGAGGAAGGCAGGCTGCATATATAGTTGGCTGGTTATTTGTTTCGATGCCCCGAAAATACTTCAACTTTCCAAGATCTTTTATATCCAATTTATCTCTTAGCTGCTTTTTTTTATATGATATAGCTTCTGCATCATCCCCAGTAACAACAATGTCATCGACATAAACAATAAGAATCGCTATACCTGAGTTCGTCTTCTTAGTAAAGAGCGAATAGTCCGACGCAGCACGCTTGAAACCAGCTCCTTCAAGGCCTATCTTTAAGCTAAAAAACAAGAGTTCCGGGCCTTTGGATGTTTATGCTACGTCCACATCTCGAAGTTGAAAAAAGAGTTCTTCGGTATCTTAAGTGTCCCCTGGAAAAGGTATTTGATATGCCTTTAATAGACATCCTCTTGTTTCTGCCTATGAAGATGCGGATTGGGCCGGCTCGCCGACAGACGGATAGGAGGTCTACGACTGGATACTGCACTTTCCTATTTTTAGGTGGAAGTCACGTGGAAGAGTAAAAAGCAAACAGTTGTCGCACGGTCGAATGCAGAAGCAGAGTATAGAGCAATGGCTTGTGAGCTTATTTGTCTTCAAACCTTACTAAGTGAGCTTGGAGTTGAGGTCTCTCATCCTATGATAATATTCTTTTAAAATGAAGCAGCAACTCACATTGCCTCTAATCTGGTTTTCCATGAGCGAACCCTTAAAGTCGCCTTAGAGCATTTTTCCTTGTCTTGACGGGTGGAAGTGAAAGAGGCTGGAAAGTACGAAGCAGGTTTTTTTCTCGTGTTCATTCATTTTCTAGCTCTTTCATTTACAAAGTTCAATCAAGTTCTATCAATTTCCATAAAATGGCCTCACCAAATTTCCCTGATTTCACTGCTCTTCCTGAGCTTCGTGAGGAGACATTTTTTGAGGAAGAAATGATGCCTTCCAACCCCACCCCCACTGAACTAAAAAAATACTCCAGTGGATAATGCTTCAGTATACAACAAAGAAGCTGGAGAACGCAGCAGAGGAAAAAGACCGCGAAC